TAAATTCGGATATTTTGCGCATCCCACGGCCATGAACCATAGAAATACAGGTAACATTTCTAAGCGAGCCATGTTCGTTTATATATGTCAAACACATCTATTCATAAAAATTGAAATATAACCTTGTAATCATGTCACACATGATAATTTGTTATAAGTCGCGTTGTAGTTAGAGTATACATTCAGATTTGTGGGAACACTGACGCAGCCCTATCAAATTATTTACGTTATTTTTTTTCCAGATTTTGACAGGATTGGCTTCATACTGGTAAAATTTCGGAGCTCTACCCAAAGTGCAACCTACAGTAAAAACACCAAAAATAAATAAATACTAGAACACGTGCAAAAATGTATTTGTTAAAAGTTGTACATCCCGGGCCGTTCACAAGGTTGTACATTCATTTTGAAAGGATTGATTCAGTTTTAAAAAGCGATGACAAAATTTCAGTATAATTTATAATAATTTTACAAAACAGTAATCGTTTTGTTTATGGTCACAACCTATTTTCTAGGCATCTATAACGTGTAGACTGTGTCTTTCTGCCCACTTGGATTTTACAGTTGCTCAGGAGAGTATATACATAGCTCCTATGTGATTTGCCTCCGGTGAACTTCCACACTATACTGGTGTTTTTTTTTATATCTAAAAAAGCCACTGTTTTAATCGTGTTTTTATTCGCCTATAACAATGCCAAACAGTCTTTATCTTCTAGCAACATTACCTAAAATGGAAAAAAAGTATGCATGAAACCTCATAGGCGGCATTATTTAAATGAACACTTTGCCTATTTACAGCAAGTCGCAGAAGTATTGGGGCAGCAACTTAACAGACTTGCTCACCAATTCGCCAACAACTTTGGTTTTAATTAAAGATGATGACGTACAATTTGAATTCTACACTTTATTCTATCACCATCAAATGCTAATCATATCTAAAAAACAAACGGTATTTTAAAAAAGTTTTTGAGATTTTACAGGATTGAAAAGTAAGCAAAATTGTTCGCGATGGTAGTGAGCAAGTTTGATAACTTGCTGTTAAATCAAACGGGGCATAACTTCATGAGCTATTTAAGTTTGTTAATAACGGAAGAACCGAGGCGGAGATAATTCTTATTTTGAAACGTAAACACCCATGTCTAGTACCTCGTGTTTTTATTAATTTTAATATCTTCTATTTGTGGTAGGCTCCGGTGTACAGTCTGCACAGTAAAACTGCATAAATATAGAAAAACAAAGACATTATTTTAGGGTTCCAAGTACCCACGTGCCACCCACACCACCACCACTATCTGTAGATACTGGAGGCCTGGCACATTATTTTAGGGTTCCAAGTACCCACGTGCCACCCACACCACCACCACTATCTGTGGATACTGGAGGCCTGGCACATTATTTTAGGGTTCCAAGTACCCACGTGCCACCCACACCACCACCACTATCTGTGGATACTGGAGGCCTGGCACATTATCTTTATAGGAACAGTCCCTGTTAAATAAATCATTTTCAACCCAAATTTAAAACGTCTGTACTGTCAGAACTAGATCTCGGTCAACTAAATTAGAATATATACCAAAAAAGCTGTGATTTTCCGCCTATTTTTGAATCGCATCGTCAATGTATTAACTGTAGAAAATGTTGGTGATTGACGACATGATATACTGTATAATAACCCCAGGTAAGGCATTATCGCTGACGTCTTTAACTGTGAAATGACGAGCAATTCTCTCACGGGCATATTGCAAACTTAATATACTATATTACTATACGAGTGGTGGAGATATTTTCATCGGCTACGTCCCGTAATGTTCGAGGTCAAGATGAAATCATCCCGTGTTGAAAGGATACGCGTTTTAGTCACGTGATCATTGCCTTTGACGGGAATTGCCACAAACTGTTCAGGTAAGACAAGTTATCATTTTTTATGATTACCGACTCTAGTTCACACGAGTTTTGTTTTCGGTTGACAGTATAACAGTTAAACAGAACTAGATATATTTGATGACAGATGTGTTTTCACGAAAATTCACATATTACATTATGACTTGTTCTACAATACTACTTTGCAGTAAAAGTTTAAAACAAAGACAAAACAAGTACGGTATCTTTACTTGAAGCAGTAGATACTTTGGGTTAGTTGCTTAATGCTTGAAAATACATATCAGAATTATTAGAGGTGAATAGTAATGCAAAACAGACGCACAAAATGGAAGTCGCAGTATTTTTGCCGAGTTTGCTGAGGTTCACTTTTAGACAATGCGTGACGCCTCGCTTCGTTGTCGCACCTGTTCTCAGATTATAATCTGGCGGCCCAGACACAATTATTTGTATTGTGTGTATTAACGTTGGGGTGCCGACCTTTATAGCAGACAGCTTCGTGTAAGTACTCTGGATAATTCTTTCCAGAGTTTTTTTTTCCAATTGTATACACGGTGTTGGAGACGACTGGGTAAGTGTAAAACGTCCTGGAGATAAAAATGTCAGATAATAAATACCGCCCTCTATCGCAGTGATATAATAAGCTGCAAAGAATAACAGAGGGCGCTATAACAAGCTCGCAAACATTCATCTCAACTTCAGAACAGGTAATGAACGCAAATTATCGCTTTAGCTTCGATTCTAAAATAAAAATGGATGGTGGGTGATTCTTAGTGGTTGGTTATTATCCGTGATATTGCGTTGTGATTTCACATGAGATTTCATTGTTTGCCCCGATAGAGGCGTGCACCTATGGAGTAACAAATTGGCGAACTCAAAACGTACCGTGAACCCCAAAACGCAATGACATTTTAGGGCTAAACAAGATGTTAACATTTTTGAATGCTCCTCCCCTAATTTACGTAATCACAATCATATATAATTTGTATTTTATCTAAACATTTATTTAAAACACTATAAATAACTAAAATCTCTATATGATATACTATTATTGAACTGTTCGATCCGATGTTTAAAATATGACCAGACAAAAAACATTGGCATTGGTTCAGTATTTTCGAAATGTTCATTGCAATGACAAAATCATTATCTTTTCATAGATCTTTTTTTCAAAGCTGTTTTGAATTTTATGAAGAGCTTTGAGTGTGGTTTTCAGTGGGCCACAGCTTTCAATGTGCTATATGCAAAGCGTTTTGATTGATGTCACATGGGTATTCTGAGTCAGAATATGTATAGCGCTATTCGGTCACCCCTGAGCAATTTACCTAATTAGCATAAATTCAAAATGGCCGCAATAAAAAAATTAAGCCATGCGCTGCATAGGGTTTACCATATTTGATATTTTAGTTTGCCCATACAATCTTATAATGGTAAAATACTGTTAAAGTTTCTCGTAATATCAGAAATTAAAAAAAAAGCTTTTCTGAAAAATAATGCTTTGTCATTAAGATTTGAATAATTCAAAAATACAGCACCAATTTCAATTTTTATTATTCAGTTCTATTTTATACATGGAACTGATCCCTTAAATGTATTATGTTGATTCTTTGTTACAAAAATAATATACAATTTCAATCAAATCATGCAAATTTAAGAGAGTCTTCTAAAATGATGAAAGATAACATGTTCAGTCTACAAGAGTTGCAAGATAGGCCCCTGGACTTGTGATAGACATACACAATCTTAGTCAAAATGTGACAAACGTTACATACCGGTATTGCACTCTATTTAGAACAAGCAATGCAATTTTGTTGATCATGACTACTTTTGACCGCAGGTAAAATAGCAGCAAATTTGAAAGTGTTAGTCTGGAACATTTTATGCAAGTGAATGCAAAGTTATATATATTACAAATGTGATGCGATAGTTTGCACTGTTTAATCTTAAACCTCCACAAACTGCTGTGAATTCTGTTTAATTACTCTTTTTCAGTTACCTGTGGAATGCTAGCTTTAGCTGTCAACACAACAGAACAACCCAAACACATTGTGATTGAGTTTTTAATATTTGTAGTGATAACAAATACTTCAGGCTGAATATTATCAGTATTTTCTCCATTAAACAAGTCATTCAATATGGGTTCATATTTTACTGTCACTCTTTTAAAGAGGCAACACTTTCTTTGTATAATATGGAGTCATCACAAGAATACTGCAAATTATTCTGAAGGCAATATGACGTTCATACTGATGTGTAGCGGAGCTTGATGTGACCAGTACTGCCTGAGTACATACTTTGCAGTATTCTTGTGATAACCTTATTATTATACATTGTTTAACTAATAATTTATTGAGATAACAGTCATAGATGGCAACAAAAAGCATTTTGCCAATGTTTGCATTCGAGTGTGACAAGATTTCCATCACTTTAACACAAACAAATTACGTAACCTCAAACAAATCAATGCTGGTGTCAGTGTGTGGTTCTCATCTGTCAACCAGGTGTGTCACACTCAAACTGAAACAATATTTACTTCAAGGCAGTTTGTTGCTATTAGTTACCAGACATTGTGTTATTTGCCATGAATTCTTCTTGTGTGGAAACACTCACTCTTTTGGACAGAAATTTGGATTTCCAGTACAAGATTGATTTCCGGGCATTTTTTTACCACATTTACACTTTCTTGGGTGAATATTAAGCAACTTGACATTTAGACTGAATCAAGTGGAAAAGGCAACAAAGATCAACAGAATACCTGGTACCGGTAATATCAAAGTTTTGTTTTACTTGTATCCACATCTCTGCTAATTGCTACTCACTCATTAACTACGTTAATCTATTTTAACTTTATAAAAAATGAAATTGTCATACTTCCACTGCATAATGGGAAAATGTTAAACTGTCAACCATTGGTCAGAATTTCCAATTATATGCACAACCATGGGTACTGATATCATTCAATCACTGACTGTGGAGGCATTATAAAAGCAGCAAGATATTAGTGGAGATAATTTGCACAGTACACACTTCACTTCCTCATCAACACAGATGCAACACAACACCAAGGATGAAACATTGCCACTATTTCTCAACATACAATGAAACAAAACAGACTCGCGACAACATGTTTACCCTTTTGTCTTCATCATTTATTGCCTCTGTACATAAACTTGACTGGAGATACTAAGCTGTAGACTGATTGGTTAAAAGCTAACATGTGACCACAAAACTGTTTCTGATTGGCTTACTTAAGACATGCAACTAAAAGCACGACTGTAATTGGCTTGTACATGCAATATGACCATCTGTGTTATACAAGGAACCATAGAAACATGCAGAAATATGTTAATAAGAAAAGTTTTGCAGCTCTAACTTTCTTACTAAAACATCACAATAAATAAATAAGGAAATAATGAAAAGATAATGTTTGTCAAAGTCTAAAGTTTACCAGTGGAGTTTTAGAGAAGTTTGTTTAACTTGACAAACTCATTTTAGAAGTTTTGGCCTTCAGGCCTTGTAAAAAGAGATTATTTTTTTTCTTTGCAAAATGATGGTCGACAAGTTTTTATGTTTAAATTCATCAACAGAGGGCGCTGTGCAGTGGTTTGCATGCTGTCCTTCAGGTGACATGCAAACAAATTTGTACCTAGCACAATGTCATGACAAGTCAAAGTTAAAATACGATTTTTTTGTTTACAGATGCTGGAGAAACTAAGCTGTAAACTGATTGGTTAATAGCTAACATGTGACCACAAAAGCTGTTTCTGATTGGCTTACTCAGGACATGCAATCACAAGCACTATTCTGATTGGCTTGTTCATGCAATATGACCTTGAACACTGTTCAGATTGAAGACATGTGACCTATATCACTATTCTGATTGGCTTGTACATGCAATATGACCTCGAACACTGTTCAGATTGAAGACATGTGACCTATATCACTATTCTGATTGGCTTGTACATGCAATATGACCTCGGACACTGTTCAGATTGAAGACATGTGACCTATATCACTATTCTGATTGGCTTGTTCATGCAATATGACCTCGAACACTGTTCAGATTGAAGACATGTGACCTTTATCACTATTCTGATTGGCTTGTACATGCAATATGACCTCGAACACTGTTCGGATTGAAGACATGTGACCTATACCACTATTATGATTGGCTTGTACAAATAATTTAAATAAACATGGATGACATGCTGAGCAAAATACAATGCGACACCAGTAAAATTTATTAAAAGCTGATTGGACAGTATCAGTCATGTGACCAAGATAGCAGCATCATTTTGATATTACTTATGTCACTACAGTTGTTGAATATTGCAGTGTCACATGACTGAATGAATGTAGTCATATGACATGTAGTTCACAACGTGATTGGCTACTATGTCATCATGTGATTGGAAACACACACAGTCATTGGTTACTAAGGGTTCATGTTTTTTTCTGGAGCTTGTTGATGAGCGAGATAGATGAAGCCCATACTGGACAAGGCACTAACAAGGAAAATGACATCAAACCACCGATGGTAGAAATTGAATTGTAAATCGCCGAGTACTTCAGTTATTATACCGCGGTATTCTGGTGGCATATTCATTCTCATGAGCAGCACAGACGACACAAAGTACATTCCCTGCAGAAAACAAATAGAACACAATAAGAGTTATTGTAATTATGACACAGTGGGAACATTTGCAAACTCTCTAGTGAATTGGCTAACTGCTTTGGTTTTGACAAAACAATTGACTTTCAAATCTGGCTGGCACTGACTTGTGGCCATGCGTACTCTGGGTTAATCTCTATTACAGTGGCGAACATACAATGATTTTATGTAGTGGAATATAAATAAACAATTTTGTAAATCATTTGTACTGCTTCGTATATTTAGTATAATATACTAAGATTCAAAGAATCTCGCTCGACAATAATGTAATGCAATATATTGTCCTCCTATATTTATATTATACTGCAATTCAGTAGATTATTTACTGACAGGTGAGTTATAAAGAGTTACATGAAAGAACCACTAAATTATAAAAAGTTGCAAAGAACCCCCCCTTTTTGCCATTAGGAAAGTGACAAAGAAACGTTTCTCACATTTACTGGAGGTAATCAGTGTTTTATGTTCTTCATGTAATGATTTGTTCGTAATGCAAGGGATTGTCCATGCAAAAACAACGAATATGGTTAAATTTTATCAGAGGTTAGCTTAATGTTACCCCAATGAATCATTTGGCTGTGAAAGTTTGTAGGAAACTGAAAACAATATTTTTTAATTTGTCTCTTTATTTAGTTGCAAGCCATATTCAAAATGGCTGCCCCATATAGTAAATATTGGTGAATAAATCGCTTCTATGCATGCTAGCCGGTTCTTACCAGGGATAGCCCCATTTTTAAAAAAAAATTGCGTGAGCAGATTTTTTTTTGAAATAACTTGTACTTGGCTACCAACATAATTTCACAGTGGGTTAGGTGGTATTCACATGACTAGAAGATTTGCTTGTGGAGATAGCAATAGGACCCCTAGACTGACAGACATTTTCATAGTATGTTAAGTGGTACTCACCATTATTTGTGCAAGTGCTAGAACTATTACACTAGAAGACTTGCTACTGGAGATAGCATAGAAAAACTGAAAAGCAAGCAAATATTGAATTATGGTTATTGAACCGTGATTTGCAATTGAATAATCAGCAGCAACTAAGACATGGGATTCCTGAAAATTGATGGATGCTAAGTTTATTTGTAAATTATTATAAATGAACATATAAATGAATGAATCAACACAAGCTCAGTTTTGTCGGCAGTAAAATACATATATGAATGATTTCTACACTAAATTTATTGTGCATACCCTCACATGAAAGCAACCATAAACATGGCACACATTATAACTTTAATTTATTTTTGTTGAGTGGATATCAACATAATCTGTGTGGCTGAATTTGGAAAAAAAGATTATTATTCAGGATTCAATTTTGACAGAAGCAGCAAACATATTCAGATTCAGGGCCATTGAACATTAAAACCGTATAACAATATTTTAGTACAGATTGCATAATATAAGCGATTATTATACATTTGTCACCGTAATGCCATAAGTTACAGCGTGCCATAATTTTGCGGTATTTTACGGGGTGTTATGATCTACCATATAAAGAAATGCGAATTCCAAATATGGAACGATTACGTGCGTAAGCGTCCTCTGATAATAAAAATAAATATGGCTGCTACCAGGGTTTGACCAAACTCCACACAAAGAAGTTTGCTGATCCTTTTCTAAATTTTTTTGTTTTCAGCATTCCCATGATGTATCATTGGGAGGAAAAAATGTATAATAATAATCTTCATAATAACCTCATATTATCACATCCCACTGTTGTTACGTGTGCTGTGATTGATTGAGACTCAGTCACGACATTGGATAAGATGGATATTACATGGTATATTACATAGATGACGTCACTGAAACTACTGCACATAACAAATTGTCATGTATTTCGCAGTTTGTTTTTTTGCAGCAAAACAATGTATGTACAATTTTTGTATGTATATTATTGAGTTTTGTGTCACTTGTTATATTTCATATTTAAAATATAAGTTATATTGGCTTTGAATTTGGCTAGTAGGTATTTGATATTATCTACCATTCTAAGAAGTCTGAATGTATGTACTTTATTCCACAGAAGAGTGCTCTTACAAGCAGTGTAATTTCACCCATATATCATGGTGACTCTAGGCTTAAGATTGTGTGTGTTTATTTATTTATTATACGATGAGATTTGATCAGCAGAGCCAATATATTGCTTTGTAAATTTTCTAGCTGCGCTGCAGTAGTGATGTTAAAATTACATTGTTCTGAATTTCTTGCTCTAACATGTATTATTCACAGCTTTGGTTTCAACACAGTTGTAAAAGTTTTTATGATCTCTGTGTTGCGTATGATAATGCATTTTGTTTATTTCTGTGCTAGATATGTGTTAGCGATATGTTTGTGTCCTCCAACATTCCTACATTTGATGCTTTTTTCACTTTATACACGTCTAACTAAAAGTGATAATCGGATTATTGCAGTGCTTTTATCATCCAACATGCATTTATGTTCTGTAGAATAACTTATGTACAAGCCATAGACAAGTTTTTTAATATTTTTTTCTCTTAGTTTTTTACTTCATATCCTGCAATCAAGATTTAATAATAATTATAATAATAATAAATAAAAATGATGAACAAACTGCTTGCAAAGTTGTGAAAAGTGATTGCAAAGTTGGCAGCTTATCTGCGTTGTTATATTGTCTGGACCCACAGTTAATAGTTCAAAAAGTGAATAAATATCTCGTAAATGGCCCTTGTATTATCGTATTGTCTCCCGGAGCATGTATAAGTCATTTTTTCACTCATAGTCATCTAATTAAAAATGATAAAAAGATCCTTATTATACATTTAACATGCATTTATGTTCTGTACTGTAAACTTATGTATGCGCCATAGCTACTCAAGAGAACTGAATTTACAAATATATACCGGGTAAGTCAAGTTTTTTTTATATATGTATTTTTTTCTCTCAGTTTGTTTTGCTATTGCTTTTTTTAATATGGAATGTACAAACTTTTCTACTTTATAATCCTGCAATAACAATTTAATAAATGAATAAATCAGTGTTGTTATTTTGTGGGTTAGCGGGTGTGAGAGATGTACTGTATTTGTCTTCAGTTAAGCGCCCCCTTCAATTAGGCTCCAATGCCACAAAAACATAGTACATGTATTTTACACCCAAATTAAGCACCAGACAGAGTTGACATTTTGGCATGTATAGATCGTGAATTGGTGCCAGTGGATCGACTACCGGTTACCGGTTAGTAGCGATAGACACGATTGTGGAAGTCCCTCACTGCTACTCTACGACAGGCTTTTATGCAAAATAATCTCCTTTTTGTCTACTGTAGAAGTAGAAAATGATCGCGTGGTTTTTAATTTAGTGAATTTCACAGTAAGTCCATAAACAAGAAATTAAAACTACACGAAAATATTCTGTTTCAAATGAGTTGTTATCATAGTGAACAATGTTAAATTATTCTTTAAATGCTCAGTTTAACTTTCCAAAAATAACTAATTTCTTGATTTGAAAAAAAAAATCATGCAGTTTTCCCACCAAAATCAAAGCCAATAGATGGCAAACATCGGCAAATCTCTGCCGTGTTGCGTTCATACAATATTTAAATGAGCTATGGTAATTTGATCACGTTGGCATCATCCAGCATTTTGATTGGTTAATTAACGACTTGACCTATCAGGTCTAAGAACACATTTCAGGTCAACTCCTACACAGGAAGCATGGCGGATATTGTATTGCATCAAACATTTACATGCGACCGAAATCATTCGCTTACGATGAAATTAAGTTCAAATTTACTTGCATTTTATTTTTTGTAATTACTACTGAGTAATAATCAGAACTGTGGAATGCAGCATGACGGGATTTCACTATTGAGATCATTTACTACTAAGTGATGCATGTGTGTTTGTTTTATTTTTCTGTTGATTGTACGGCAAACTGTGAATGTTTTCTAAAGGATGATACTTTTTGTACAACTTTCTAGACTGTCTGAAAACACATCATTTACTTAGTATTTAAAATAAAGGTAACAGGCGTCAGACGGTAATGTAAAATATTGCCAATAATGTATCACCAGAATGGAGCAAGAACAATGGCTTGAAACACAGTTACTGGTACTAGAACTTGAAGTGCTTGAAATAAGCATCATTTGAAATAAAGTTGCCCAAATTTAACAACAAATAAATGACACCATGAAATGAAAGTGTAACAAAGTGGCGCCTAATTGAAGACAAACACGGTATGTTAGATGTGGTTGTGCATGATCTGTTCGATGTGATAAAATAAATAACACATGGCCTCAGGCTGTTGGTCATGACTATAATATGTATGATGACTTTGCCTAATCAATATTATGGTCATGACCACCATACCTCAGACAAGCAACAAATCGTAATATTGCCCTCACAAACATGTGTTATTATTTAAATGTCTCTTACCTTTGTTAAATTAATTAATAATCCCCTGATTGATGTCACTATAATGATACCAACAAGGATAAATGAAATTTGCTGAGACCAGAATTTAACCTGGAAATATACATATAGCATATAAATAACATGCAAGATGTATTCATACATGTAGAAGCATTGGAATTAGTTATACACTGGCACACAAATTATCTGTCCATTCAGTGTCTTGTTTATATATGTAGAAGCATTGGAATTAGTTATACACTGGCACACAAATTATCTGTCCATTCAGTGTCTTGTTTATATATGTAGAAGCATTGGAATTAGTTATACACTGGCACACAAATTATCTGTCCATTCAGTGTCTTGTTTATATATCTTTGATCAAACTGACACAGTAATCAGTGTTTTTGCATGTAAAGTCACTTATGTCACATTTTGTCACTTGCACTTCTTGTAACTGAACAACACTTCTGTAAAATATATAAATGTAAGTTTACATATAACTTGAGCAAAAAACCAACATTGATTAAAATTTGAAAATGTAGGACATTTCTAAATAATTTGCTAAAATGGCATAAATTGTGTGCGGAATGGGGCAATTGTCTTTAAACTACCCCAATTGCCCCATCCCCGCAGACAATTGCCCCGTCCCCGCAGACAATTGCCCCGTCCCCGCAGACAATTGCCCCGTCCCCGCAGACAATTGCCCCATCTCCACAGACAATTGCCCCATCTCCACAGACAATTGCCCCATCTCCACAGACAATTGCCCCATCTCCGCAGACAATTGCCCCATCCCCGCAGACAATTGCCCCATCCCCGCAGACAATTGCCCCATCCCCGCAGACAATTGCCCCATCCCCGCAGACAATTGCCCCATCCCCGCAGACAATTGCCCCATCCCCGCAGACAATTGCCCCGTCCCCGCAGACAATTGCCCCGTCCCCGCAGACAATTGCCCCATCCCCGCAGACAATTGCCCCGTCCCCGCAGACAATTGTCCCGTCCCCGCAGACAATTTCCCCATCTCTACAGACAATTGCCCCATCTCCACAGACAATTGCCCCATCTCCACAGACAATTGCCCCATCTCCACAGACAATTGCCCCATCTCCACAGACAATTGCCCCGTCCCCGCAGACAATTGCCCCATCTCCACAGACAATTGCCCCATCTCCACAGACAATTGCCCCATCTCCAGACAATTGCCCCATCTCCAGACAATTGCCCCATCTCCACAGACAATTGCCCCATCTCCACAGACAATTGCCCCATCTCCACAGACAATTGCCCCATCTCCACAGACAATTGCCCCATCTCCACAGACAATTGCCCCATCTCCACAGACAATTGCCCCATCTCCACAGACAATTGCCCCGTCCCCGCAGACAATTGCCCCGTCCCCGCAGACAATTGCCCCGTCCCCGCAGACAATTGCCCCGTCCCCGCAGACAATTGCCCCGTCCCCGCAGACAATTGCCCCATCTCCGCAGACAATTGCCCCATCTCCACAGACAATTGCCCCATCTCCACAGACAATTGCCCCATCTCCACAGACAATTGCCCCATCTCCACAGACAATTGCCCCATCTCCACAGACAATTGCCCCATCTCCACAGACAACCATTCTCTTCTACTTGTTTGTACTTACATCAAACTGAATGCCAAAGTAATTGACAGCAATCTCTACACCTCTGGTAACAGGATCTGTTTTACCAACTCTATCAAATACTATATTAATAGTAGAGATGACAATCTTCCATAGACAATACATAGAGAATATATATCCCATGAAATTAAAATATTTGCCTTGTAAAGTACGTGAATATATGATCCTCTCCTGGAAAATGAAAATAAGTACAAGAAATAATTACCACCGAGGGCGCTTTCTCTTAATATTAAAATACTGTGAAATGCTTTAATTTCACAGGACAATTTCCGTGAGTTTGAAGTATTTTTTCCTTCACCCATTGAAAATCATCAAAACAAAGAATTTCTAGTAGTGAATAATAAATGGTTTACAACAGTTTCTATATGATACTGTCTTTACCCATGATCCTTTGCCCATAGTTTCAGGTGTTTCTCAAATTCTACATTTTTTTTATTTAAATTTAGACGAGTATTATTTTGAATATTTTTTATGAACAATTTGCCAACTTATTTATTTATCATAATGGAATCAACTCAGCAATATACAAAATATAAATATTTAAAACATATTTAAATCAATGTTCATTGCAAAATATTGAGAAATGTACAGTATATTTTGGTTTTGACTTGAAAATCAACTTTCCCAGCAGTCAACAAGCAGACTCAACTTGATGATGGCTCAGAATCCCTACAACATCAGTTCTGTTAGAGGGCGCACTTTTTAAATCATCTGTATTTCTTACCTTTGTATTATGTAGGTCAACAACCTCCAAGAAAAGTTGTCTACTGAGTTCCTCATAAGCATTAACTTCCTGTTGTAATTGACTTATACCTGGGTACATAGATAAGGTCATGTGACAACCATGTGACTCTCTAAACACTGAAACAAATTATGATGCTTGAAATTCTACTGATCAAATTGTACTACCATGACAACCATAAATCAAAACTAATGTATGGGATAGATAGCCGATGGAAAATAAACAGGGGTGCAGCCGATTTATTTATTTAGTGTCTGGGTTTCTAGACTATTTAGTGCTGGTAAACAAGTCATTGAAAATGACACAGTCCCCGTTAAGTTCTCTTTGTGCTCATCATATTAAAGCGGAGGGGTTGTCGCGAGCGTGTCCTTGAAACTTGAGTTCCAAGTGGCGTATACAACAGATTGTTTATTTACATCAAAACACGTGTTTCGTGTCATAGTAATATGGCCAAAATAAAAACAGCCGTTATTCAGCCATCTTTGATCTGATTATGAAACACACTGATATGTATGATGTATGTGCCAAATACGAATGAAAATGGTACATAAATTGTGGAAATATAGTAGTAAGGCCAAAAAGTCAGATGGCTGTCAATCGGCCATCCTTGACCAGATTTTGAAACAAATTGACATGGATATGCATCCTAACATGTATAAAGTACATGTATGTGCCAAATTTGAATGAAAACTGACAGAGCACGTCCAAGATACCGCATAAAAAAACAAAAACAAGATGCCTGCCAGTCGACCATCTTTGATCCATCATGGACATGTATCCTAACATGCCAAGTTGTTTAGCGGGGTTAATGAACATGTGACATATCTGGTTGACGAGGTCATCCGTTTTAACCTGGTCCAACTGACCCGGATCTATTGCAGTGAGGCTAGCATTAATCCAATCTGATTAAAATCTGATGTAGTGTACGGGCTTTAATTATTTTGGCTATAAACTTGTTTTAATTTTATTTTTTTTACTTTTGTTATTAATGCCCTTTTATTTTATTATTTTACTTTGATTTTGATTTTTTTAATTCCGCCCTACCTACATCTGATCCGACGCCTATGTAAGTCCCGTTCAAATCTCGCGTAAGTAACAGCCAATCACAGTCCCCCTTTTATACAGGCTGTCGGTTGCTTACTTTTCAGTGTATACGGGCAATTCTTCTGTACATTTATATTTTGCCCACTTGAATAAACCATTAATAGAAAATTGCTAGTATATTTTTATTTGCAAAAGAAATTCCACAGCATTTTACAATTTTTGTCATTTCATTGAATATTTTTTTCACTTCCAACAAATGTGTACACTTCCAGATACATCTTCGCCAGCCAAGGTTCGTTCATTCAGTCATCGCTTCAATTTTACATCACTGAGCATAATTATCTAGAATGGAAGCAAAAAAAAAGTAAATCGTAATGATTAGAACACTGTAAACAGCTATAGTAAACAATGCAAACTGATTTTAAATTGTATAGCGGTCACCGGCCCACGGCAT